CTTCCGACAGTCCCTGTCATGCCTCGTCTGTGGTAAGCATTCTCAATATTTCTAACAGGAAGACATATTTGAAGAATATGGATTGGTTTTATGTAAATAAATAAATAAAAATACAAATTGAAAGCTTTTTAATCGTAATGTTATGGGTAATAATTTGCTGAAATATCTGTGGGCTGCAGGAGTTTCCACTATTTCTCTCGCGCTCATTACTGCGGTCTCCTTAGCAACCAAGGCTGAGATAAGCTCATCCATCCTCTTGACAAGACGGATGACTCTGTTGTGCTTGCTGCATAGCCATGTGGTTTCTATTCATGCTGTATTTGATCACTACGTTTTGGTGAGGCGGGTTGCGTTTAATCAAAAGCAACACAGAAAAAAAAGTGAATGACACATCTGACAGATTCTTGTAAATTTTATTTGTGATTTTGTTTTGTATCCAAATCTCAGATAAATGGAAATTGACAGGCAGAGGTCTAATCGCCGCATCTCTGGATTTTGAAGTATTTAATTGGATTTGTTTGGTGAAAAGTTGACACGCTGAAGGGTTGAATGTAGAGTTGTACCGATCAGTCGCACCGAGTCAGGTTCTGCTGCAGGTTTTTTCCTGTTAAAGGGGAGTTTTTCCTCCCTACTGTTACTACATGGTCGCTGCCACTTGCGAAGTTTCCTCAGAATGAAAACTTGTATTTATTTATTTATTTTACCAATTTTAATAATCAACTGAACTTTTGGCTTTCTATGATTTCTCCTTAAAACTAGAAAAATAAGATGTTTTATGCTTTCCGTCACAATCAGCCAATCATTTTGTTGTTGTTTATTTACTGAATGTAGAAAAGAAAAAGAAAAAAAACCCCATCTGATTTGTAGTTTTTCCAACCCACTGATCAGTCCTCAGTGGATTTCTGTGTAGCTTAATGTGTTGAAAATCTGAATAGGAGTAAACATTGCTCATGTTTTCTTTTTACTTAAGGCAAACTCCTGGAGGACCCCATCTCCCCAACACACCCAGAGTGTCAGCATTACGTCTGCTTGGGCTGCAAAGGCCAGAAGATGCAGATCAGGTCGTCGTGCAACCGCTGCAAGGACTACTCCTGCTTCCAGGAGAACAAGCAGCTCTCTTTACTGGTGCAGTGTTACAGACGGCTCTGCCTCTACATAACTCATTCGCCACTGCTCAAGTCCATCAGCAGCCACGTGGGAGGCTCTCCGGAGGTCATGACCTTGTTGGAGGAGGTGCTCGTGTCGCACAAAGAGGAGGCCGAGCATCCGGGCTTAGCCGAAGAGGATGTGAATCCATCTGCTCCCGAGTCCCTCACGCCCACGGAGGCGCCGCCCGCTCCTGCGGAACTCTCTGCTGTTCCTCAGAGCTCCTCCTCGGAGCCTCCGTGTTTCAATGGAGCGCCAGATTGCAACGGACAGGCGCTGGAGGACCCGTCTTCCCCCGAGCTGGAAGTGTGTGAGGTGGTAGAGGAACAGCAGCAGCATCATCATCTAGGTCTGTCTGTGTCTGAAACCACCTGCAGCGGTCTAGAACTGGGTCTGAGCACTGGACCTTTAACCCCAACAATAGGCACTGTGTGCTCACTCAGGGAGGGGGAACCTTGTACCAGGGAGCTGGAGGAGGGGGAGGTGTTGCTGCTCAGCGTAGAGGAGGTGCTACAGACGCTGGATCCCCTGCAGCCCGACCGGGACGCTCTTCAAACACACCCGGAAAGGACGCACATCGCCACAGACAAAACGCACACTCACATGTACATACAGCTGGACGCAGCCCACAACTACACCCAGATCCACACGGGCAGGACTCACACGGTGGCGCACCACGCCACTCACACGCACCCTTCTTCCTTCGACCCGTCTCCCGCGTCCAAGCCCCAGCAGGCGCGGCCCAACCGGAAGCGCTCGCGCTCCGAGAGCGACAGGGAAAAGGTGAACCCCGTCCCCATCACCTCCATCCTCCACGACTCGTCGCCCCAGTCGCACATTCCGACCCCCGCTCACACTCAGCACACGAAGCTACCCATGCCTCCCCTCGCCGTCCCGGCGCACACGTACTCGTCGTTTCCCAACGGCGCGTTCCCCAAGCACAGCCGCCCCGCACAGAACCACAACAAAGGCGCCAGGAAACACGTGGACCCGAGCTCCAAGAAGCCCCACGCCAAGGCCCGCAGCGGCGGAGGCTCTAAGACGAAAGACCGGAGCAAAGACCAGCGGCCGACGTCGGGCTGCGTCTTGCCAGCGCCGCCCGTCAGGCCTCCGTACAAGAAGCCGGTGGAGAAGAAGGGCTGCAAATGTGGCAGGGCCACTCAGAACCCGTCTGTTTTAACCTGCAGGGGGCAGCGATGTCCCTGTTACTCAAACCGCAAGGTGAGACCACTTGTTCAGGGTGGAGCCGTTTCTGTTTTTAAATCTTTTGCAGGGTTTTGTTTATGGAGCCACTGAGATTGCACATCTGTCCAGTTTTACAACAATGCTGTGCTGTTTTTGTGCAAATTATTTGTCTCATCTCCTGCACAATGGGAACCTTTGGTAATAATTCAGCAGCAGTAATCTGTTCTGCTGAACAAATTACTAAATAAATAAGAGTATAATCGAATTATTTTTCTCTGCAATTTAATAAAAAAAAATCTACTCATTATGATGTGGGTTCATTTCACACAGAGTGACATGTTTCACATGTTTGAGTCAATGGTTGTGGTCCACAGCTAATAAAGTTATATATAATGAATATATAAATATATAATATATAAAAATATCTATATAAAACCAGTAGAAATGTTCTGCTTATTTTTGAAGATGTATCAGTTTCCCAGCAGATTGTAAACCCTAGGCACAAAATGTCATAAATAATGTTGAGGAAGCAGGTTTTGCACAAGTTTTTTTTTTTATTTTTTATTTTTTACCTCAAGCATATTAATGAAAAGTTGAGTGGAAGGAAAAACTACAAAATCACTGTTGCTAGACATGGACTGTGGCTGGAGTCAGTGTTTCAAGAGCCACCACACTCGGACGTCGACGATGGCCACAGCTGTCGCATTACTTCTGTGATGTGACAGAACGACTATTTTAGTAATCGCTTCTTCTATCAGTTAGTCGAATGATTAATCGGATAAAACAATTGCCACATTCTGCAGGTTTTAAGCCCTTTTTATAGTCTATTAGAGGTAAGATGCAAATAAACAAATAATTCAGTTCATTTTTAAAATAGCAGAATAAACATTTTATTACCAAATATGCATTAATATAGCGATCTTTATCTGATTAATAAATCCATAGCAAAAGGAGCGTAACAGGATACAGGCATATTTGACTAAGGATTTTTATTATTTACTGCTCTGTGTATGTTGTTTTTCAGCAAATGGTCATTTTTTAGTGTGTGTCGATATAGATTATAGAGTCTGTATTGTCACTAACCAATACAGCTAAGATTAATTGTTTACTAAATTAGTTGACTATTATTTCAACAATCAAGTAATAACGATTAATCGTTTGAGCCCTAGAACCAGAGACATCATCACAGTATCATTGAAAAAGGACTCGGCTGCTGCTCAGTGGTCCAAAGTCCTGTTGTCAGACGAAAGCCGCTTTTGCATTTCATTTGGAAATAAATTTTGAGAACATCCAGAATCAGTGCGTCCATCTAGTATTACATTTCAGAGCACTTCACACTTCCCTCTACTGACTGACAGCTTTATGGAGCTGCTGAGTTGGCACCTGCCTGCCCCACACTGCAAAAGGTGCCAAAAGCTGGTTCAGTGACCACGGTGTTACTGTGACTGACCAGCGTACTCGCTTCACCTGAACCGCATGCACGCTCTTTGGAGTATTTGTGAAGGGTATAATTAGAGACGCCAGAGCCAACAATGGCTGGGGAATGCTACAAGCTAATGGCTTCATTTCATTCCACATTGTTGCTGTAATTCAATCGAGATGGTGCCCTTGCAGATGCTGTATAGTCCATGTATTTTTCGGCAAAATGACATCTATGTGTTAACAAATTTTTTATTATTATTATTACCGTAGTATATTGCGTTTTCATTAGCGATAACTCAGCATGACTAAAAATAAATTATCAAAGCATATTGCTCTGTGTGGAATGAAACTACCCATTATATGACTTTAATTTCTTTTAACTGAAACACTGAAATTAACGTGTTGATATTCACTGATGTGCAACAGCGGCGTTTATCTTCAATAATCAGTCGATGTACGAAGTTGCGTAGTTTCCGTGCAGCGCTCGTGCGTTCTGTCCGAGTTGCGTCATCTCTCTCGTCTTCCTCAGGCGTGCTTGGACTGTATCTGCCGGGGCTGCCAGAACTCCTACATGGCCAACGGCGAGAAGAAACTGGAGGCCTTCGCCGTGCCCGAGAAGGCCCTGGAGCAGACGCGGCTCACCCTCGGCATCAACCTGACCAGCATCACGGCGGCCGCGGCTCTCCGCAACCCGGCGACCACCAGCATCCGCGGCAACACCCTCCTCAACGTCGCCACGGCGACAGGGACTCCCGTGACCACGGCCTTTCTGTCCGCCAGCCCGCCGCAGGATGCTAACTTTGACGACAGCTTGGAGCTGCTGATTGGCTGATAGGCAGAAAGTCGGGGAAAAACAAAAAACGACGACACAGCGTGGTGCTGATTGAATGTGACGGCTGATTATCCACCTGTTACCGCCGGCTCCACCTTCCTTCTGACGGAGGACTCGACTCATGGCAGCTATGTGTCTGTCCTGTTCTGTAACCTGCTGGTTTTCTGTACTGGAAAACGCTGACTAGTGAGATTAGCATGGGTGTGCCAAAGCCTCCTGTATCGTGCCTGTGCACTGGTGTGTATTGTTGCCAGTCTGTAGGTATATACTCTATTCCAAGGATGTTCTGTTCTTCAAAGGTGCTTTTTTTTTCAGCTTATAGACCACAGATTTACTGTAAGAGGCAATAGAAACCCATTCCAAGTTTTGTTCATTTGCACACACATATGTGCAGATTTTTACTTTTTTTTTTTTTAATTTGTCTGTCAGTAGCATAACTTTTTTTTTATTGAGATTTCATCTTCACCATTCTGAGTGTTATTCCTAAAACTATGAAATGTGTCATGTTATCAGGACCCCTTCCTAATCCCTAACCCCGTACACGAGCAAACTTTAATTTTGAAATCAGACTAAGCGTTACCCAAGACACCCTGTCTAAATGCTCTCAGCTGTTTGGGAGTTTGTTTTAAACGGCAAGCTTTTTACTTTTAATGAGGTCATCCTGAGGCACTTGCCCCTGTTGGAGGCGAACAGTGGGTTTTCATCGTCATAGCAATAGGAACGCCCAATGGGGAGGCTCGCTGCTCCTGTCCGGTTAGTTGTGACTGCAATCGTCAGTCCTCAAAAACTAACACACTTGTACATGACTGTATGTGTATAGAGGTAAACTGAAGCCATAGTTTTATCAGAGTTTCCTTTAAAAAAAAAAAAAATAAAAAAAAAAATATTCCCCTGTTTCCCCAACACACTCACACACGTAAAGTCCTGATTAATCAGAGATTATACCAGATTTATTTTTGATACTTTTGGAGGTTTGGTATCCGAGTGTTTTGGTTATATCACAAAGAAACGTTTGACGAGGCTGTGTGTTGTCTGTGTTTGTGTTTACCTTCTCAGCTGTAACTCCAACATGTCCGTCAGCCCAGCATTGTTGACCAAAAGAAAAAAAAAAACCCAACTGAACAGAGAGAAAACACAACTTCTCTATTCATGGACCAGGCAAAGTAGCAAGTGGACTTCAAGTTTGTTCAGCAGATGTGTCCTATCTTCGTGTGTGTGTGTGTGTGTGTGTGTGTGTGTTTCAAAGATGTATTTGTTTTGGGCATTACTTGAACCCTTAATTTTGTTTTTTTCTATCTCCTTTTTTTTGTAATGTAAAAGTCCTGTTTGAGGAGTGACAGTTATTTGCTGAAACATTCACTGCCATATTATGGAGACGTGTAACAACATGAATTAAAAGATAGTTTTTTACTTTTTCAGCTTTGTGTCTTATTGTGTGGACAGATGTTATTAAGGGAGGAGTTTTAGTCGCTTAGATTCAAGCCATAGCTTTTGTCTACATACATTCGTCTTAGAAAAGTTTCATTTTGGGCTTGTACTCATGGTTTTAGATGCATTTTCAGTCCACCCTAAAAAAAGAACTATGCAAAGTATCGACCGACTCTGATGAATATAACTATAAAAAAAAATAAGTATGACTGACTGAAAATTGAGATTTGTAGTTCAAAACGGTTTATAATAAAATCAGGAATATGATATTTGCTGAGAAAAATGGACCCAGAGTACATTAAGCTCAACGTAATATCTACAACTTTTACTTCTTTTTACACCCTGAGAAAAAAGCATCTCAATTAAATCCATTTATCAGTACGAATACATTTGTAAACAATACCATATATGAGAAAACCGAGTTTGTGTCCATCGCTGGGGAACGTTGGAAGAATTACACAGTGACGTCCATTTGGTCAGTTCTCTCGACAGAGAGTAATCCCAATGTTTGCAATTCAGTTTCTCCAACTTAACCCACGTGCGTTCTTGTTTGCAGCCACTGCTACATACGATATGTGCTCACAAGTCGCTGCTGGAATATATGCACAGCATAAACAGCTCATCTTCGCTTCTTTTTGAGCGGCGGTGCATTCAGTTTCCCTCTGCAGCTCAGAGCGATCCCGGCTCCACTCTCCATAAGAAGATCTTCTCGTCTTCCAGTCCCGGTTCTTCACACGGCGACGGACGCAGTCTACTGACGACGGTTAACGCCTCGGTTAACGCCGTTAGTCCACCAGGAAAGCCCCAAAGTAGCTCGCCCTCCCGTCCATCTCCATGGCGCTGGCGTTGCTGACGGTGACGAAAAGGCGGTCGGCCGGCTGCAGGAAAGTGGTGCCGGCCTGATGCAGGGAGAAGAGGCCTGGCTCCTGACCCCGAGGCCAGCACACGCTCCGGGACGATTTCATCAGCAGGATGGGTCCTGTGTAGGAACTCATCTGCGGGGGATTTAAACGACAATTTAAACGTCACGGCTACCGCGCCGGTACCTCGTCATCTACTGATACGAAAGCTGAACCTTTTTATAAATGTACTGGACGAGTTCTGCTCCCTCGTCGTCTGCTGCTTCCCCGTCCGTCTCCCCCACAGACGGGAGCCTAAAGTAGGTCTGGGCGTAGACGTAGTACAGGCCTGCACTTGGTACGAGCAGCTCCCCTCCTTTGAGCTCCATGTTCTGCAGGAAGGACAGACCCCTCTGGCCCTCCCAAGCTCGGACGCGCTCGCCAGAGTACCCCCTGCTGCTCCGCGGGCCTGCAACAGCACCAACCATGGTTATTTGGAGGCCCGTCCCCGTCATCGCAGGTCATTTGGGACTGCAAGAGCCAGCGTTAAGTGTAAACAGTCACCATTGGAGAAAAAGTACAAAGCGAATTGCAAAGACTTGCTCACAGAGTACACAATGTTACCAGATGTGCCCACAGACCAGTGTGCATCTTTAAAGAAATCACTGAACTGACATAGGAACAAAGATGTCATCGGTTATAACGCTGCCAATAGTTAAAAGCATAGCAACATCTAAAGACAAGCCAGACTGAGAAGTTGTGTCTCGCATGTTATTGTCATCAAAAATTAAAATATAAAACAAAATGGATCGTTTAAAATCCGGAGTCGTGTGGAAATTTTAAGCGCTTTGAAAATGACTTGTCTCACCATCAATCCTACCATATACAGGCAACGATGTCATGAGTGTACTTTGATAGCAAAATGTGTGATTTCTTGGCATCTTGAAAAGCAGCCTGTTTTGATTTGTTTGTACCGAGGTTTCATGTTTGGACACATTTAATGACTTCGTTCAATTTCAGGGTAATCTAAGAACACCCCGTATTCTGAATGTGTTTCGTAAAACATATGTACTTTTTAAAATGTATTACACTTCAAAGATTTCAACATATACTTTACCCTTCCCAGAAACGCAAAAAAGAGCTACACAGTAAAGTAGCTTTCTGTTATACACTAAGCATCCCATGAATATAGCTTTAAGCTTTACCTTTAATCTGAAATTTAATAAATATGCAAACATTAATAATACAAAAAATAAATAATTAAAGGAGAATTCAATTAGGTTTCTAAATGTATATTTCAATACTTTTTGCATGTAGTTCAATGAATAGAGGCTGAAGGGACTGATTTTTGCCCCGTGACTTCAAGGTTTTTCAGAATAACACTCTCAATCAATAAAAAAAAAAAAAGTCACATTGTGTTACTGTTTAAATTCTTTGCAATGACATCCAGCCACTCACAAAAGCAACATTAGCTCATGTCATGCTTTTATTGTCTTAAACACATCAAAAGTAAAACTCAGCGCCACACAAACCGGAGGACTTACTTTACCCCGAAAGGGGGCGTGAATGTTGTGCAAGGCGAAGCACGGGAGATGTCTTGAATCCATTATGTATTCTAACAGTTAGCACATATGAGCAAAAGAAAGGAAAATAAATAACGTGTGAACTTAAAAAGCGGAGTGTCAGCGCCGAGACATGAAAGAGTTCAAGTCGTCAACTGCTGTGCATGGAAGGAGGAAGGTTTTGCGTTGCGTTTGTCAGACAGTGATTTTGCGTGATTTACGATGAGTGATTTTTTTTTTCTTCCTAATTGACGCATTGTGACAGTTTGAGGTGATATGTGATAGAGCTTAGATCATCTCAAACTTGGTTTCTTGAACATGTCAATGTGTTCACTGAACACCGCGATCCTCCACAGTCACTAGATCTCAACTTAACAGTTCACTTATGCAAAAAAAAAACAAAAAAACTTCATGCATTCATGCATTATTTTTTTCATGTGCCGGACAAATAAGAAGGCTGAATTCTAGCGTAACGTTTTCTAAAAATCACAACATTTTTCTGGTGTTGCGAACAGGAGCTGCAGGTCCTGACAGACCCAGGTATGAGGAGGTAACCGAGTCCGAGCACCTCGGATTGCCCGGAGGTCAATTCCTCACCTTTTGCCCTGGAAAGGAAGGCTGAGCATTGTCAAGATTTGCACCGAAAAAAGAAGCCTCTCTTACAAACTTGCACTTGTGCTTTCAATGACTCAATTTGTGCTAAATGTTTTTGCCTGAAGCCACAATAAACTGAATCTTACCTTCTGGTGCTGCTGGAGCCTTTGACGACGAGGCAACGCCGGTCACATGGGCAGCGACTTTAGGAAGAGGGACCCCACGGACCCCAGGGCCCAAGATAGGCAGCACTCCCGTCAACTTATCTGTAGGAAACCCAAACAGACAGAAACAAAACACTCACCACAGGGCGTTTTTAGTGGGAAAAGTCACACACAAGCCTGTTATTAGTCAATGGGGGGATTGTTCTTACTTCTCATGGCAGTGGATATCTCCCTCTGGAATCTGTCAGCAATCTTCTGCAGGGAAAACAGAGAAAGGCAGAGGAAAGAGCAAATGAATTGGCCAACAAGTTATCTATTATGCCAAACACAATGGCATTTTTAACTAACGAAGTCACATTCGGTATCTAGTAATTCACCAGAACTGATAAGGATCCCGCAGTCATCTGCGCAGTTGATAGAACGTGTCAGATTATGGTGTAAATATTGGCTGTTCCGAAAAGAAACAGTAAAATGAATATCTTCAATTGGGTTTATAACATTCAGCGACAGGCATTTTCCCAACATTTTCCCTTTTAAAGATGCAAAATGAGAGTAAAAAAAAATAAAAAATAGAGCTATAAATGGTTAGGAATGTTGGCAAAATAGTTTAAACAAAAAAAGAAAAAAAAAAAAGTGTGTGTAGGGGCTTGGGGTGTGTGTGTGTGGAGAAACATGTTTAGCCACATTATTACTCAGAGCGAAGTGACAGAACGCTAACAAGGCTGAGTATACCAGCAAGGGTACACACTCCAGCTCTTAAGCGACTTACAGTGCTGGGCAAAAGTATTTTTTTATATTTAGTCAGGTGCAATAAATAATAATTAAGATCCAAATCTTCACATTTCTTTCATAAATTATATATATATATATATATATATATATATATATATATATATATATATATATATATATATATATATATATATATATATATATAT